CTATAGGCCAGCGGTCACTCTTTCAGAGATGAAGATGTTCTCATTCTTGATGGAGAGGAACGTTGGTTTGAGAGAGGAGTAAAGGAAGCCATCTTTGTGAAGAAAAACCATCCACCATTAAACAGAGGTGGAGGCCTGCGTGTCCAGTTGTCCTCCTCCTACAATGCTGTTATTGCAAGTATGACTCAGCCCCCCTGTGAGCAAAAGGTGTGAATCAGGGCCCCAATGATACCAAACACAAAGAGGGAAAGAGAGACAAAAACAAGGGGACATTGAACCCCGCTTGCACTCACTACATACACATAACACAACACCTAACCACAGCATCCAAACCTATAAGTCAGTTGATGGGGCACAGGACCCTCTATGAACAAGAGAGCTAATCAAGCCTATTGTTAGGCGATGACCCTCTTTTGCATGTGACTAACCTGTTTGTCCACCATGTGGAGGCAGTGCTTTTAAGGCTGAGTTCACCTGAAACTCATCAGCCTGAAGAAGTCTCTTGGACGAGAGACGAAATGTTTCACTGAAGAAGAAACCATCCAGAGGACCTACGTATTGTTATCTTTTTGATTTTCTCTACCTGGATTACTGAGATGCATCAGGACATAAAATGCATAGTTAAAAATAAAGCTGCAAGATTAGCACTTGGTTGTATCTTTTTAAAATACTTTTTTARAAAGTAAATTCATTCAAATTGGAGCCTAAAAAGAATAATTTGACCTTCGTTGGTCTGTTCATAACTGGTGAGTCAGATATCAGGTGTTTAATGACAGCAGCTCATTCAGACTTTGTACCAAAAAGAGACAATTCTGCCTCCTGGTGGACAGAAGACACCACAGCWGGTTGTTTTCTCGCATCTTTTTTGTGTTTTTCTCTTATCTATTTGATGTACTTGTGAGAAAAAAATTTTGGGGGCTCTGTGGTAAAACAAACATTATGATAAATATTAAATAGAATTTTCAGGGCCCGTGTTTGTCTGGTCCCACTGCCATGCATTGTCTAACATGTCTATTTGTGTTTTCTGTGCAGGAATGGTGAAGCGTTCTTCGAATTGTTCCTCCCTCACAGTTCATTTAAACATTTCATAATAGTAATTACCTTTAGACTGCCTGTACATTTATCAATAAACCCACTCGCTGTCCCTCTGCACATGACTGTAGCATGAACGACTGTGACTTCTGACATGACCCCTTGACCTCCACTGGTCATGTCTCATAACTAAATGAACTTTGTTCTGAAAAGCTGYCTTAGAGACAAAAACTATCTTAGCTTCAATAATCTGTCCTTGTCATGCATATACAACCACTCTCTCCTGTCAACATATTTCKCCCAGAAAGAAATATGTTGACTTCTGTGACAAGACCTGGTATCAGTGTTGTGTCTAGAAGATACACAGCTGAAYGCTGCATGCAAACTGGAAGAAGCCAGTTTCAGTTAGTGCTGAGCTGGGTTTTGACATTTTCAGGCTGGACTGAGATGGGCGAGCTAACCATCAGAGAAAAAAAATGTAATTACTGCAACAAGAAGTTTTGCCGACCTGGCGGGGTCTGATATGGCTGTTTTGTTACGGAGGGCCAAGCCGTCCCAGAGTCAGAGTTTGAACAAACCTCTCCGTAATGACCTCCAGGGCAGATCTGAATCAGCTGGACCTTAGAGTCCAGCATACAAGCCTTCACTTTCGGTGACAGCTGGAAGTCTCCAACTTTGGTGAGCTGACAAACTGTACCTAATTTAAGGCATTACACATGAAGTGTTCGCAGAACGATCCTGGTTAAACAGCTGATGTAACTTCGACATTATTCTTTTGGCTTGCGTAAGATTAGAAAATACTAATAAACAATCTGACCAAGACGTTAACATATTCTCTTCAAATTGACAAAAACTTATAAGTTTTAACCTGAATCTCTTGTCAACTGATAACAGAAGAAAAATATTTCCTTTGGGAAAAATATGTTTTCGTTCTATAAATGTTTAAACATCCAGACCTTAACTTATAACATCAGTCTATAATAATTTCAACCTTCAACTGTTTTGAAACCTTTTTGCTTCGCCTTTCATGTTGTTAGTTTTACTGTTTTCATTAATGATTCAATGAAATTGATTCTTGCTATATTTTTGTAATAAATTACCATAAAAGACAAAGCTGGTTGCTTATCTTTGAGTATTTTGGCCTGAGATAAAAATTCTCTGCATATTATACAATCTCATACTTTGGTAAATTATGAGTCTGATTAAAAAGGGTGAATAAATATTGGTCAATAACTTGACCTGGTGCCCCAGCAGGTTATAAAGTATAGTGCAGRACAGAAACAGTTAATCACCCTTTCTTTTTCCTCTCATATCAACTCGCTACATGACCAAACTACCTCAGTATGACCTTTTTAACTTTATTTAAAACGTTCATTCATTTAATCATATTTTTTGCATTATTTCTTTAAAGTGTTTTTTTTATTATTTATGGGACTTTATTAATCAGAGAGGATAGTAAAATCATGTAAAATAAAAAAGATAAAAACAGTCAAAAATCATTCCAAGGAAATTGATTAAAAAACACGTTTTATGAAGTTTTACCACGTTCATCAGGCAAAACTATGTTTAACAAAGTAAAATGAAGTGTTTTTAACTCAGAACGTGTGTTTTACACCACATAATATTCAAATTYAGTGCACACTGCTATAAAGTGGATATAATTCAAAGTCATGGTTAAATTCAAATTGAAAACATAATGTCTGCTACCTCTTAATATATGTGACTAATGCAGGACTAAACGTTTAAAAGTTTACTAAGAAGACAAGGAATAAAWGCAAACTGAGAACAAAGACCTTCTGCAGAAACAGCATAAAACAAGACTGTCTTCAGGATCTAAACACCGAAACTACCGTTAAACTTAAAATATGTCTCATCTTTTCTGAATTTGTTATTCTAACACAGTAAATGTTTCACATTCCAATAAAATATGAATGCATTTCCAGTTTCTGAATCCTCATGCAGAGTTGTGGGGGTAAATTGACTTTTGTGCCCAAATATGGCCTTCAGGAAGTAGCAAACCCTGACGCAACCAGTGCTGCTGTTGCTTTAAATGGCTTCAGGAAACAAGGGCTCCCAGGCACGTCATGGGTTTTCCTCAGCAAGGCCCCACAAGAACAGGAAGTGCTTTATATGGGCATGTGTTTGCTAAACTCCTCTTCCCCTTTTTGTGCTTCCTGCGAAAGGAAGCAGCACATGTGGGGGATGGGTGAGACCACAGGAAAGCTGCAGGCACTTTTAGCTGTTCCAGCAAGCTGCAGGAGTGAAATACCTCACATTCCTGATGTGAGAAGGGCTAAAAATAGACAAACATGTTCAACAAATCAAACTATTTCTGCTTCAACTAGTCCAAACATACAGAGCTGTGGGCTAAGTATCAATAAAGTGAAAGTGTACATAGTGTTTTTATAATTATTTCAAAATAATATTTCTGAGAATATATAAGAAATGTTTTTTTTAGACTAAGATCATCTTGTGTGGAGGAGTAATTGAGTTACAGCCGTTTTGGTCAACTTTAAAGGATCATTTTGTGTCAATTTTAATGCATGATGCAATACATAAACCAAGGTATGTGTGGTGAGTGATTGCCAGCTAGTACCAACCAAATGTTAACTCAATATATACAACTGACTGAGTAGTAGCTGTTTTTATATTAGTCAAGTTTGATTGGCTGTAGCAGCCATTTTGAATGATAGGCTACTGACTCCAAAAATTAGTCACTTATACATACATATGTCTCCAAAAAATACTTTCTGAAAATTTCATTGATATCTACCACGTTGCTGATTAGATATTTTGCTAACAGACAAACAGAGCGAACTTCGACAGTTTATGCCAAAATTATAAATAATCAAAATTGTTATGCAATGGGCAGTGTACGAAGTATTAGTTAGGGACGTTGTTAAGCTCCTACCACTCCAAATTTTAGCTCAAAATCTGTAAAACTGACTGAGTTGTAGCTATTTTTGTGTTTTCTAGAGTCAGTCGGCTGTGGCAGCCATGTTGAATTGGGTTGACTAAAAGGAAACCAGTTGTGGATGTGCATTCATTGATTGTTTTCTGAAAGTTTAATTAAAATCTATCCAGTGGTTCACAAGATATTTTGCTATCAGAGTTGATTTCAAAACTTATTCCCTACCTCTCAGCTTGGTTTGCAATAATAATAATATAAATATGTAAATAAATGATACATTTTACAATTATATTTGATTCTTAGACGTGGAGTTCATATAGAAAAAGGTTCAAGTTGACTTGAGGTTAACCTCCCATCAAACCAAATTACATGTTTCTAAAGCTTTATGTTAGATTATTATTGTTAATTTTAACATATGTTTTACTTTATTTGACTTAGGAAGCTGCTTTTCCAGGATTTTTTTAGTTTAATTTTAAAGTTTTGATACCCTCTGAACTTTAGAGTAAAGCAGCTGTTTATAATCAAGTTTCCACGAGCAGACGATGGGCGGGGCTTCTAACAAATTACGTTTCACGCGTGACGTCAGCGAGGTTATAAGTAGTTGTCCCGCAAGGAGGGTTGTTTTTGTTCCTCCGCGTGAAGTCACAGGGAAGAGACGGTGTCCCGAAGCTGATTGTTTCTACGTTTTCTTCCCCCGCGGACTAGCTTCACAACCGGCTGTGGCATGGAGGTCAGCGCCGAGGCCAAGAGGATTATGGTTGTGGCTCTGGGGAAACTGTACAGCTCCCGTACACAGCGAGGCGGTCTCCGTCTTCACCGGAGCCTCCTTCTGACCATGGTGATGAAATCCGCCCGGGACATTTATCACGCTGCCCAGACGACGATAGAAAGCGTGTCTGACGGGTTAGAACAACATCAACACACAGCGGCTGAGACCAACACAGAGCCGAGAGCCGTTGAGGAGTTCCGGGAGCCCGCTGCCTGTCTTCCGGGGGCTGGGACTTCACCTCACCTGCCCCGGGAAACCGCCGCTCCAAGCGGCAAGGACAACAAGGAGACTACGTGTCCTTTCGGCTCGACACAGCAGCACACACGRAAACGGCGGGGACATGAGACAGCCGCGCCAGACTTTCTACCCTGTAAGAAAGCCAAACTTGAGTACTGCTCTCAGCAGCTGCTTGTTACTTCCGTTTTGGACTATGTGAGCTGTAGTAGTGAACTGGGAACTTGCCCTGCCCCCATCCCTCTACAGACGGTCATAGCAGCGTGTTGAAACCCAGTAGAGACTTCTCTTGGCTCAGCGAAGGGACACGAACGCACCATGAAGTGATCCGGTTCCAGGAAGCTCCGGGAGAAAAAAAAGGCTGATAAGTCCCACACAAGACTCTGACATGTCTGGGCTTGTTCACGGAAACACTTCAGTCATGGAGACTTCACCTGGATTGAGGCGGAACTACACAAACTAGTGAATGCTGTACTGCCTTTCTGTCCAAATGAACTCTAAATGCAACATGTGTTGATGTCTACATGCTGTGTTAAATGTAAATCATWCAGATTACAACTACCTCAGTATTTATTAAACTTTTTGTACTTTATATGAACCTGAATTGGTCTTATTTTTTACCGAAACTGTCAGGCCTCAGAGGTGGAAGCAATTTTGCCCTTTAAAATGTCTGGTTTGAGCCTAATAACAGGAAACTTTATTATGGGAGTTTTCTTCCTTCCCCCACAGTTTCACATCCCCCACAGTGATTAGCACAAAAAGCAGGGACAATTCAGGAGACTGTGGTCCAGAAGAGGGGGAGGATGCTATAAAGCCACTGACACAGACAACAATGGAGGTCTTGTTGCTCTGTGCTTTGAGGGCTGGTGTAGGTATAGAGTTTTCAAACTTTTTATCTTCTGACCCACAAAATATCCATGGCAAAAACTTGTGACCCCAAATATAACTGGTGTGAGTACATGAACTTCATTAATAACCCTAAAAACACAGGCTTTCTGACAATCTAAACAGCTTATACACAAATATAAATACTTATTTATACTTATTTTGTGTTTTTGTAATAATTACAGGGAAATATTACATCAGCAATTATTTTATTACCCTTTAAATTGATTTCTGGAGATTATCCAAGGTGCTTCATGACTCATAATTGGGTCCCAAGCCCAACGATGGGAACCAAAGTGCAGTGGTTCCCAAACTTTTCAGCTTTTGACCCACAAAATAACAGCAGCAGAGACCTGTGCCCCCAACTATTGTTAGATGATAAACATTTGTATCAGGTCAACTAAACATGGGCATAGTAACAATAATTTTTATACTGCATTTATCCATTTTAAATATACTAACCTCGCTCCTTTGTAACAAATAAGGCAAAAATGTAATTCAGAAAAAATTTTCAGGACCCCACCTTGATGTTTCGGGACCCCACTTTGGGTCCCGACCCCAACTTTGGGAAACACTGGTTTAGAGGTGAAGTATCAGCAAATGTACATCTACCACTGATTACTTAGAAGCAAATCTAATTCAACATGGCTGCCACAGTCAAATGACTTAAAATAAATACAAAAATTGTAATAAAGAAGTTAATTTTGCAGATGACTTAAAATTTGGTATTGTAATAGATGAGTGCTGCAGTTCTGTTAGTGACATTTTAGAGTCAGCTCTGTTGTTAACATTTAGGCATATTATAAAGAAGCATTTGGGAAATGATCAAACTTTCCACTTTAACTGAATAACTCAGAAGTCAATCCAGWTCAAGATGGCCGCCATGGCTAATCAACACCGGCCAGCACAGAAATGGCCATAACACTTTGACAGATGTCAACATTTGCTGTGGCAGCTGAGACYRATCTCCAACACATGCACCACATTTTGCAATATTGCCAGRGACTGCACATAATTTTATTTACATTGTCTCTTGCTTTAGTCTAARGCTTGGCAAGACTTTTATTTCCTTTTGGTTTGAAGTCCTTTTGAAATTAACAAACAAGAATAATCTAACTTAATGCCCTTAAACAAGAAAACCCTGTTACCTTGTTTAGCCTTGTTCAACCTTGTTTCCTGCAACTGGGATTCTCCAGTAGCTGTTTGTTTTGGGGGTAGTGGGTGAGAAAACAAGAAGGAATGCAGGGGATGGGGGGGGTCTGAGTATACCCCATGAGGCCCCAACTGAGCTTATTATTCTTCCGGCTGAAACTGGCCTGTGTACACAGATCTGGATCCGTCCGGTCATGGTGCTGAATCTACCTGCACCTCTCTCTACACAAGCACTCTTTGTTTTAGACGTCCTCAAGTCTGGAACTCTGGCATGAAAGGTGACGGAAGCAACAGAGAGAAGTCAGAGCAATGCGCTCCACTGATTCGTCAGACACAGGTACACTGATRAACTACATACGATTTCACTCAAGTCATCGTTCACTTCTCGTGTGAGCCGCTGTCGTGTTTGGTGACCTGCCTTTGAAGTTCTTAGTGGGGTGGTGGTGGTGGGGTTTCCTGTTGCTGACCAATACGAGTCTAGGTGGTTACACACCAGAATAAACCCCTCTGTTAACTTGAATGCAACACATTCTGAAAACAAAAACTAAACGGTCTTCTTTGAAGAAAAATTGAGATAMTTAAAGGAAAAGTTCCGATCTTTAGTCGAGTTTTGCAAAAAAGCGTATGAACAAAGGAAATCTCATCTGTTGTAGATAGCTTTTTAAATGACCTCAGTTTGGACAAAAAGAGTTTTGTTATGACCARATTTGCCACGTTTCCATCCAATTGTAATGCCAATTTTGAACAAACCTTTGAAATATCGCAAAAAATCAAACACAAACAAATTAGGCATGTTTCAATCGGGCTCGGAGCGAATCAGCCAGGATATGTAAAGWGCAATTACATTAGATGTTGATATACGCATGGGTATAATAAACAGGAAGTGGAGGTCACACATCTTGGAACAATGGAGAGAAGGTTTCAGGAATGTGTTGCTCTCAGACAAGTTGTAATTGTTCTGTCGTATCAACTAGAATTGGTGATKTTACRTGCTGTCTGTGACATAAACAATGCAGTTCTTATAGAAATATCCATGATGATGCTGACAGCGTGTAAAGCTTCTCTAAGTCAGAACTTATTTGGCAAATGTGTTTACATCTTYCCACACACATTAACTGTTTTGGAATATCCACAAACCACCTCAAGTTTTTTCAAATTGTGTCGTTTCCATCAGCCTTTTTAATGCGATACTTCAAAATGCRCATAAAAWATGTTAATGGAAACATGGTTGCTGATAGTCATTGTTAGGCCAAGATCAAATTACTATAAAGTGCTGCTAGACTCTCAGAAAAAAGTACTCAATTTTACCTTAAAGGCTTGTCGCTGGCGTGGTACCATCAAAGGTACTGCTATTGTACCCTCAACAGGGATGGTGTGTGTGTGCACAGTTCTGTACAATGATGTAAGTCATAAGTCACATGTTAAAGTCATAAAATACAAATAATACACACAAATACAGAGTTACAAAACAACAACATAAAAACAAGAAAAAAAGACACAAAGGTGTGCATTCTCTCTTGAGTTTATTCTTTAGGAAGAGTTCTGTTTGGAATTACAAAATGCACTGGTAGAAACAGCGGTGAGACTGGCTGAGAGTGCGAAAAGAKAGTGTGAGAGAGACAAGAGTTAGAGACAGAACCAAAGGAGGACTGAACGAGAGGTCAAAGGTCAGGCAGCCAGGTAGAACGAGTACTTCAGTGGCGCTGGCTATAGCTCCTGCACCGCCCTGACCCTCACACAAAAGTAGAAAGAAGAAAACACCATCGTCTGAACTGTATTTTATTTTCTCTCTTTTTTWAATTATTCTTATTTTCTGTAAAAACAGTTCTTTTTTTGTGTGTGGAGTCCTGAACATTGATGTGTTGTGTCTCAATCTCAGGTAAATGAAGAAAAAAATAAATAAAACAAAACAAAGACTTTGATTTTCACCAAAGTCTCTTCTTTGTCTTTTCTTTTAGATTTTTTTTTATTTTTAACTTTTTTGTTTTCAAAAATAGAAGAAAAAACTGAAACATTGTTCATTTTTTTAAAAACATCTATCTATTTATATATCTTTTTTTATTTTTTTTTAATTAATTAATGTGCTTTTTCTTTAAAGTCCTGAAGATGACTTTTAACCCACGGTGTGGCATGCACATAGCACATGCATTTCTTGAACTAGAGTTTTTTTCTTTTTCTTTTTTTTTATTATTTGTACTTAAAAAAAAGCAAAAACAAACCAACAAAAATATTTGTTTTTTCTCCCCGTAGCGACTTTACATTGCTTTTTGAAGAGTTTGTGTGGTTAATTAGCATTAGTGGATCTCACTGCAGCATATACACAAAGATGGAAAGTTCAGGCGTTGCATGTTTCACTCGGGGATTAACTGACATCACACACACACACGCACACATACAAACACACATATAAACACAGATTGCTGCAGATTTTTTTTACAATGGTTTGACAGAAAAGTTCCAAATTGAAAAATATTTCCAGAGACAAAGTATAGAAAATGAAACAAGCGACATTACAAATCATTAAAGTTGTCAGAAACACATTCACCCGTGTACATATAGAAGCAAAAAAAAAAATCCCACTTATACCACAACCAGGTGCTACATACCTAGTTGCCTTTTGATTTTAAGTGTAGTGATGTGAAAAAGACTTGTTCGTGACATCCCACTAAGGCTGGAAAGACACTAATAGGCAGTTTTTTTCCTCCCATTTCTATTTGTTTTCAATGCATTCTCTGGTCAACGTGTGATAGGCCTTCAGGTAAAACGTAGGTCAACTAAAAAGAAACAAAAGAGTGAACAATAACAACGTTGGGGCTGACAGTGGTGTGTGTTGGTGAACAGTGTTGGTTTGAGGCACACAGAGAAACACCAATAAAAAGGGAAAGTCCAGATCTGAGGCGGGGTTGTAGAAAAAGGTTATGAACAATAAAGAAAACTTACTCATTGCTGTTGGTTTTGCATTCCATGCCTAGTTATACAGTATATAAATCTATGGTCATGTCAAGTGTGATCGAGGCAGCAGCAGCTTTAGCACCTCTGGTGCAGCCTAGTTGCGATTTTGGCAAAGAATATTCTAATAATTAAGCTGGGATAAACATGTCTGGGACTGAGAGGCGTTTTGGACGACCCTGGATCGAGGGGGATTAAATTCAGCCCACCTCTGATGCACTTCTGAGTCTCTGAAAAAGGTATCGAACGTGAATCAGTCCATTGGCCAGATAGTTTTTTCATCTTGAGTCAACTTGTGGTTTAATTCCCCCCTAACATTTTAGGAATACTAGAACCTTATAAACAAAAATTAATTAAAAAATGTTTTTTTTTCAAAGAAACTGAGTTAAAATGTAACCACACCGTTTACTTAAAACTAAAAATCTAGTCCCCCCTGAAGGACAGAAAACCAATGTCCTCTACACTAGGATGCAGTGATAGGGTCTTAAGAGAGACAAGCTAGTTGAAGAGTGACTAATATCAACTAACAATAAAACAAATTAAAGTAGACCTTTGTATACCAGATGGTGATTCCCTAAGTCATATTGCTGTATTTGTCAGTTAACATGACAACAGAACCAATCTCCTGAAATTATTTTCTTGCTTTTGGCCCAGGTCTCCTTTGCAAAATAAATGCATTTTGTGGTACACAAGTGCTCTCGTCTGCATCAGAAAAGCTACACTATTTGCTGTTGCTGCTAACTGCACTTGCAAATATCAGTATGATTCTATGTAAATTAGCCCACAATGCAAAACTTACAGCAATGCAAAAGCTTATAATATAGCAATGATCTGAACTAGGGATGGGCAGTGATTTTTGAATATGCAGTCTAGTTCAAATGGGCAGAAACTGGATAATTTAAAGAAGGACCATCATGACTTTTTTTTACACAGTTGTGACATAAGTGGTTTTCTAACAGTGGTCTATGCACTTTTTATAACAAAAGTATCGTCCACCCCCTATAAAAGCATTTTACTATCACTGTATTTTATTTTGAAAGAATCTTAAAGTACAATGTATGATCAGGAGTGAGCAGTGGGAAGTAGCTGCAATATTTGAATAAAAACTGAATAATTACTGGACAAATTTAAAGAGTTTCTTTTATGCCCACCGCTAGTGTGAATTGCTATGAAATCTTTGAGACTGGAACTTGGAACACCAGACTGGACTTGTTTTAAGATGGCAGGAAGTCACTTTGGTCTTGGTCACATTTGAACTCGCTGTTAGCTCTCATCAGTCAAAGAAGGAACATTTCTTTAAACTGAGGCAAATAGTTATAAACATATATACATCTTCAGAGCTATGTCCTACAATACTGATTATCCATAAGCTTTCTACAGAACCCCAGTCCTAAAGATCTCAACTTTCCATTTRAAGTCACACAGAGGTGAAATACACAGAACRTAGGTGATTTCCAGGCTCAGAAATCAAATTTTCAACCCTTCTGAACCACGCATAAAGGCAGTTCAGTCCCCTGTGTTTACACACGGTGAACACAGATGAGGTGTTTTAATAGTCAGAGGAAGTACTAGACTTTATTTCTAAAATAACACCACACAAGAAGTCTGAAACGGTGAATGCTTCGTTGTCATGTGGCGCCACCTGCAGGCTACCCAATGATGGTGAAACCCCTGCTGTCTTTAATAAATCTTTTTGCCTTATCKCTGCCTCATCCTCCCATGATGTGGCTGAGGTCCACCGCAAGGTTGGAAAATAGATTACCTGAGCTCGAAACGAAACAAGAACACGGTTAAAAAAAATTCCGTCACTCTCACAATCATCATGATCATTACAAACATATACTGTGTATTAGCCGTTTCTCCATTAGTACTCTCGGTGAGAAAGAAACAAAGATGAAGAGTTTCTCTCCTTTCTGCGCCTTTCTCTTGGTCTCTTCCTCTCTGATGCCTCTGTTTAAAATCCAAACCCTGGAAGACTTTGGGATGATACTGATTTGTCACCACTATACTGTCTCCACGTCTTTTTTTTCTTCCTCTTCTCCAAAAATTCTCATTTTACCCTGCTACCCATTTGATCTTTTAAAATTTTTATTTTTTATTTTATGACCTCAGTTACAAAAAAAGGTTACTTTCACTAAAAATTTGTGCAATTCCAACTGTATCAGTGGCAGGCATTTGGCACAGAACAAACAGTAGACAAGCAAGCAAAAAGTAGTTGTTTTGTCCCTAATACTCCCCCCCCCCATACCCCGCACCGCTACCTAATAATTCTACATCAACTATCCGATTTCCCCGTAGCCCTCTTTCTTTTGACTTTTAAGTGTAAATGAAGCAAGAGGAATGTCATTCAGAGTACAAAGAGAGAAACAGAAAGTATTTTCGATAAAAAAGAGAGAAACCCTACAGACCACAAAGAAAAGGGCAGAGGTCAAATCCCCCCTCCCCCCACGGACAGAAGATTCTCATTGTTGCTAWTAGTAGTATTCTTTTGTATCATTCATGCAGGATTCCATAAGGTGTTACAACTCCGCAAGTCTTTAAAAAATAAAAAGAAGAAGAGACAAAGTTGTGTGGGGTGCAACAGAAGATTCAAGCTTCAATGCTTTGAAGAAGCAGAAGAGGAGGAGGAGGAGAAAGAAGCAGCTGCAGGAGTAGAAGAAATACTGCAGAAAACAGTTATTTGTTTCTGAAATACATCCCCGCCTTTTTTTCCCCTTCCTTACAGGTGATGGGATGAGGTTGGCTAAAGTTTGTCTCGGGGAGGAGTGTGTTCAATCTCTTCGACACACTCTGTTGTCGTCTAGATTTGGCAGAGATTTTGTTTCTTTTCTTTTTTTTTCCATCAACACCCCTGCAACACTCCCCAACTCTCCCACCCACTTAGCCTCCCCACCTCATACAGGTAAGGTGGCTCTTTTTTCAGTTTTTTTTAACACAGATGATAAAACTCATCAATATTCAACTTGTGGCTGGGAGGGTTGGATCGGATCTTTTTTTTTTTTATTTGATTTTTTTTGTTTTTCTTTTTCCAGCTAACTTGACAAAAGTTAGCCTTGAAAAATAAACAAAAAGAAAAGAAAATAGTTTCTCCCTCGCCTCTGACTTTAGAGTGTCTTTTATCGAGTCGCGACTCTTGACATCTTGTAAGTGGCTATAGCTCATTGCCAGAGGCATAATTTAAGACACGGAGAGCAGTGTCCATGATTCCTCCTGTCGTCTGGAAAAAAACTGCAACTTCAGTTTTTGGCATCAAGAGATGATGAAAAACAAAGCAAGCAGAGCACGATGGTGATTTGCTTCTTGTCTCTCCAGATTCTGCCAAAGCATCCTTGCTCCATYTTCTTGTCTCAACACCTATGCTTTCGGCGAGCAGAACGTCCCTGGGACCCTCCCCCAAGGAGGTGAGGAGAGGAAAAACAATGAACAGACAAGAAAGAAAACTTGTGACATCCCTTGGCAGTCGCTGCTCTGGCTCAGAGCTTTCTATTTTCTTTCTCTCTCTTTATTTTTAATCCAACTCTGAGTCCCCC